TTTTCATTTATTAGATATATTGTTGAAGTTCGTGTAAAGTGGCTGAATTGGTGTTGGGTCCATCTGAGCAACCAGGGAACAAGTTCTGTACAGAACCTGTCTCATCTTGCTTTGCCTTGCCTGTAGTTACCTTGCCATCATTAACTATTAGGACTGATGCCAGCAAAACAGAATTTCCAGATTAGTTAACTCGTTTAGCTGGTGATGTGAAACGCCTCTCTCCTTGAAAACCACTGCCAGTTACAGTAGACAATGCTGGGTTGGATGAACAAATAGTCTGACCTGGAATAAGAATTTTCTTAACTTCATAACACTGAAAACAAAAACCCTCTCAATCACATAAGCTACTTTTTACACTTTACATTTGCCATGCAGGATCCCTTTAACAGAGTGCCTGCTGTTCCCAAAGTTCCCTACCCCTTAATTTGTCAAAGTACTACTAAGACTGAATAATACAAAGAGGGGGGAAAACAGTGTGGTCTGATTTGTGCTCTTATTTTGGCAGAATGGCTGGATAATGTGTTTTTCCCAACCAATAAAAGAAGACTTAAGGAAGCACAGAACATTCTTGTGGATGGTCTTGCAGAGATGGGAATACCTGTTTTTAAAAGCTCAGGAGGATTATATGTGTGGGCTGACTTCAGAAAAGTACGTGGAGGACCTGGAGGGCTCAGGGAGGGTGGATTAAAGGACATAAATACAGTTGGCTGTATTGTGGCTGGTCTTGTGAGCTCCTTCCTTCCTGCCGGGCTTTGTATTCAAAATAGGACCTGCCCCTTCCAGCGAGACATTGAGAGAGCATAGGCTTATGAGCAAACCCATTCGGAAGAATGCATCATCCCAATGCTATCCGGCACTTCTGGTCTGCGACTGGACCAGTCCCCTGCCCCTTGTACGTGCCCAGTCTCAAAGTGCACCAGGTTTTCATTATTGATAAGGGCTTGGAGCTCCCCACCCTGCACCCTTAAAAGAGGCTTTTGAAAAAAAGTACTCTTCATTAATTTTGGACATAGTTAAGTGCCTAAACCATCAGAGGAAGGAGGGACGGAGGCTGGTGCTACCCGCATTACACCTGACCATCATTTAAGGTGCCCCAGCATACTGTGGCACACCGGTTGAAAACCACTGAATTAAATCATAACATGATAAACAATAAATAAATGGTGCAGCATCTGGTCCTAAATAATATTTTGAGTAATTGGCTAAGCAAGAAAAATAATAGAGCACCAAGGCTTCAATTGAACTCAAAAGATGCTTTGATAAACCTGATCTTTTGGTTCTTTTGCGGGTGGGGAGGTCAAGTGCTTTGTTTGCTAATGTGGCATTTAGTTAACGTGTATCTTTGTTTTCTCTTAGTTCTTAAAGTCACAGACATTTGAAGCTGAAATGGATTTATGGTGGAAAATTCTTGGTGAAAAGCTGCTCATTAGTCCTGGGAAAGCCTTTTGCTGTTACGAACCTGGATGGTTTAGGCTGGTCTTCTCAGATTCTATAGACAGAATCTACCTGTGTAAGTTTCAATTCTATAAAAGGGTTATCTGATCTCTTTCTCCTTTCTCATCCTTCACTCAGCTATATGCACTGTCATAGACTTTCAAGCCATCAAGGAAGATATACAGCCTTACAATATGTTCTGTACTGCATACAAGCAGACATTTAGGAAATATCTTATGCCTTTAAAATGTTTATGTTGCTTCCTTTTTGTAGGTATTCAGAGACTTCAGCAAATGCTACGTGATAAAATAGATGAACCTATAGCTTCATCTCATGAAGAAAACGAGCATATTGAATTAGATGATGAAACCTCAGCCAACTACATAAATACATCAGTGGATGATGTCTCAGAAGGATATTCACACTTGAAGAAAATATCTGTCTTCTAAGAACCTGAATGCTAAAACAAAGCATGGCATATTTATATTTACTGTAACTCTGACTCCCCTTTGTTTTGTTTCGTATGGCAGGCAGGCATTAACATTTTGTTGTAACCTATGGTTACTAATTTGACTATGGAGATTCTACTTATTTGCAACCTGGCAGACTTTCTGTCCTATATTCTCCTCATTGGAATACTTAGTTCTGTTCCTCAGAACACTATGGGCCAAATTAGATGCAACAGTGACTTCTACCCAGCTGTTTTTTCCCTAGAGGAATTTCAAAGCTAAAGGTAACCCCTGTTAGGACAAAAATAGGTGGGAAAGGTGCAAGGGAAACATCATTGGAGGAGGGAGAGGTTCAGCACCTCCCATTTGTCCCCAGGATACTGTATTATTGACCATGCTTAAACTATATGCACAGAGTTGAAACTAGGCCATTCTCCTCCTCCTCCTCTCCCCCTTTATAGAATTCAAATTAGGTCACACCACCATCTTATTTTCAAGTATTTGAATTTCATTAATATTCAGGTCAAGCATGTGACTGATGCTTTGAACATGGACAATCTGCAGAATAGAGCTGAATCTTGCACATTATCTTGCATATATCTCTTGGTTCATATAGGGCACTGGATAGCTCAGTTGGTTAGAGTGTGGCATTGATAACACCAAGGTTGTATGTTCAATCACTGTATGGAATGGTTGCGTATTCCTGCATTGCAGGGAGCTGGACTTAGATGATCTTCAGGATCCCAACTCTACAATTCTATGATTCTAAACATTGGTCCAAAAAGCTATATACTTTGTATGTAAATACATTAGAAAATGTTGACTCAGTTGATAATTGGCTGTTAATAACTAGTTGCCAACTCACAGACTGTTTTTATAATGCACAGAAAGTAATCTAAAACAAAGAAGCTTGGATTTTCTATATGGGTGTTATCACTGTAACTGCTTTCTAAGAAAGTGTCTAAATCTTGTTTTCATTCTGTTGCTGAAAAGGGTTTATTTGTACATTTTGCTGTTGCATATCATTCTTGCAAAATCCTTGCACTCTCAGATAAGTTTTGCACTCTTAACATAAATATTTTTTTAAAACATACCCTTGGTTGTGCTGATTGGGAAAGGAGCGCGGATATTTGTGTAATTTAAGATCCAATACAGTTTACATACGTTGTCACTGATGAGGTGGGCTGTTTTCATAGCTACTAGCTTTTAAATCATTGTGATTATATAAAAGAAAACCCTGGATTTTTTATTGCTGCGGTTTAAATTACAGGCCAGAATAGAACTAGGATTTTGGTTAGTACCTGAAGCCACAACTGCTGTTGCCCAATGTTGGTTCTACTTCAGCTGTGCAAGGACAAGAGCAGAATTTACTTTGGTTCTAGGGCAGTATAGCAATATGCATACCTTGCCTATTTTTTCTGTAGGTGTTACACCTTGGATAGAGGAAAGGTAGATCCCAACTGCAGTTGGGAAATGAGCCTGAAATTTTAAGGAAGTAATGCATAGATGCCTAGAGCTTGCGCCGGATCTAACAGCAAATCCAGGCTGCAAACCTGATACTTAAGAGGGAGTACCACTTGCCTAGAACAGGTAAAACCCCATCCTTTTCCAGATGGATCAGTTATCAACCAAATTTCTATTGTGGTTCAGTTTATTGTTATTTATCAATCATCTTCCACATACATTCTAAAGTGATGTAATATGGACTTTAGACACGACATTTTCCACCATTTTATCTGTTAAAGGTAAAGGTACCCCTGCCCGTACAGGCCAGTCTTGCCAGACTCTAGGGTTGTGCGCTCATCTCACTCTATAGGCCGGGAGCCAGCGCTGTCCGCAGACACTTCCGGGTCACGTGGCCAGCGTGACACCGCTGCTCTGGCGAGCCAGCGCAGCACACGGAACGCCGTTTACCTTCCCGCTGGTAAGCGGTCCCTATTTATCTACTTGCACCCGAAGGTGCTTTCGAACTGCTAGGTTGGCAGGCACTGGGACTGAACAACGGGAGCGCACCCCGCCGCGGGGATTCCAACCGCCGACCTTTCGATCGGCAAGTCCTAGGCGCTGAGGCTTTAACCCATTTAAAATAAATAATTTTATCTGTTATTGAAAGGGAAAGTAGAGCTCGGTGTCATCAGAACATTGCATGCAATAGCTTCCTTGGGTAGGTGTTGAAAGGCTCCCCAAAGATAGAATTGCTAAGCATGAAAGTGCAAGTATTATGGGGCAGTAGTCCCCCGCTCCCAAATTATTTTTGAAATGGCCTGCTCAGCTACATAGGAATGGACTCACTTGAAGCATGGTGCCACCAGTTCCTACACTAACTAGGGGGTGTAAAAACGATACCATGGTTGATAGTATTTATTACTGAGAAGCCAAGGAGAATTGTGTGGATCACTATATTGTTGTGCTAGCATAGGTCATCCTAGTAGTTTTGGGGTCAAATGGAAGTCTGAAGTTAGACTGAAACAGATCCATGATAATTGTTTAAGAGAATATACATAGCCTAGCAAACATATGCTTAAGCATCTTTCACAGGAAAAGGATAACAGCAACTAGTGGTGGTTAAAATATCCTCTCTCCAATGAAGATTTATTTATGTATTTCAATGTGGCTGTACTTGCCCCTCTCTTAACAGTGTTTACTCCCTTTACATCTTACCTGGCACAAAGTAAGACAATTCTTATGAACCTTTGGCAAGCAGCTATTTAAAAGTCTGCTCAGTTGAAACTCTTGTAGTTTCAGAAAATTAACAGCATAATCTTGTAGTAAAATTTGTTTATTTGGGCAAAGAACAAGGATAGGGATCTTGCGACAATCCAGATGGTGTTGAAACTAAAACTCCCATTAGCCCTGACCACTGGCCATGCTGGTTGCGGCTGATAGGAGTAGGACTCCATGTATTTTGTACTATAACAACTGCAAGCTCCCCATCCCTGGCATATAGTAATTTGGGGGAGGAAATGAACACCTGCAATTATGCCTTCCCATCACGACAGTAACTGAACTTAAGTTCTATTTACTAGATGCAATGGTTTTTGTAAATGAACACACAGATACACAAGTTTTTCACAGTGATAGTGACAACAGGCTTTTTTGTGAAGAAAGGTAGTCAATAACTATTTTTGTATAAAGCAACACTAACAAATACAAAATGTACAGCTTCTCACTAGACTCAACAAGCATGTGAGAAGTTACTTTTGACAGAGGAGAAGAAAAACAAGTTTCAAATAACGTGAAGAAATTTTGATTTTGAAAAAGGCACCCAAATTTAAATAATAAATAAAAGTCACTCATAGGCCTAGCTGGATATACTAAAACATAAACATTTGTGAAAATTAATATACATAAAAAGGAGTCTCTCAAGAGCAAGACACACTACAAGCTGCTGGCAACAGTTTCCTTGATAGAAATTGCTGGGGTAGGTCCAACGTGAGTCCAGATATAACCTTTTTCTGGTCTAGTAGGAATGGTAGGGAAAGGAGAGGACTGAGATTTGAAATATTCTGAAGGCGCATGACAAACAAACTCTAAGTACTCAATTTTTCTTGGAAGATCTTCTTCTGGCCCTTAAATAAAAAAAATGAAAAAGTTAGTTGGTTATCTCCCCACTTGGAGCTTTATGGTACATCCAGTTGGCCATTGTCATATTTCTCCTAAAGTATCACTAGCAAGACAGGTACTTTCCCCAGCATGGATATAGCTCTATGCAGGAAATAAAGCTATGCAAGCTGGGCCTGCAGTGTTCTCCAAAAAACATTAGATGGGAGAATCTAATACGAAGTCCTCCATCCTCCAAAGTAAGGGCAAAACACAGAATTGTATAAAATGCAGCAACACAAGGATACCTGGTATCTCGCTCCTCCCAGGAAAGAATTTCAGCTGGTTTTAGATCAATACCAACACTACTAACAAACAGCAGGGGAAAGGAAGGACTTGCACAGCTTGGGGCTGTGTAACCATACTATTGATGATGATGGAAGAGGGGCATGCATTCAGCATGTTGCATCTCTGTAGCAGGCATGTTGCCCTCCAGCCCAGTTTCTTTGGGCCTAAGAAGAGAAGGTTCACATGTGTAGAGGACCTTGTGTGTCCATAGCAACTTATCCCCGCCGAAAGTAGCTAGGAGACAGTTTTATCTAGTGGTACTATTGATTTCTACTGAGAAAGACACTCCAACATCAGCACGCTTCCCAGGAGAACATGTTGCTGTCAAATATACAACTCTGAACTTCATTTCCAACACAAATATACATCTCTGCCAGAACTGCAATTCATGAGCAAGTCTAAAGGCAATGCTGCTTAACTAGCTTGTACTACAGGATAAAAAGAAATCTAGCACTGTGGAGTTATATCACATGTAGCACTTCTGCTTTGTCAGGACAGGTAGAATTTTAACATTTTGGGCCTTGGAACTTACCTATTATGTAAGTTGCAGGGTCAAAACAGTCTTTGGGGCTAGCTGCAGTAGGAATGAGCCATGTTAAAGCTGCACTTTTTCGCAGTATTGGTCTTGAATAAACCCTCTAATCTGAGCATAGTATGTTTTACCATCCTGCTCATCAATCACTGAAACAACATCTCCAATCTGATAGTAAACTCCCTAGAAAAGATATAGATCATTAGAATTAACTGATAATAGTTTCCGCTTCGGTGTCACAGAGTGAGCTGGCCAGTAGTCACACCAGAGATAACTCGTTATTAACCAAGTCTGTGAAGATACCGTTCTTGTCGAGTGTCAGGCCTAACAAGTACAACAGCTCATCCCCAGTAGGTCTTTACCCCATTAAATCAATTGCCAAGACTGGAAGTCCCTGCCTCCCCACAACCATCTAAGTCCCCTCCTCTCCAGGGCTTTTCCCAAGCAATTAAGAGTCACCGCTCCGCCTGTTTCAACCCTCTTCTAGTTCTGGGATATGGGGGAAGGGGAGCTTGTTGCAGCAGGATGGGGGCACACCCTTGACCCTTCACCAGCCTGCCTCATCTCTATTGGCCTCCATCCTCCCACTTGCCAGCTTCGGCTTCAGCCTCTGACTTGGATTCTGAACTTCTCTCTGCCACAGGTTCTCCCAGCTCACAAAGCCCTGTTACCTCCTCAGCTTCCAACCCCTCCTCTTCCCAGTCTTCTCCCTCATGGTTGTCCCACCACCGCTCCCAGGCTCTTATCCTTCTTCCCTTGTTGGTCCCCATCTGGTCTATGTACGTTATCCGTTTCCCCCACGTTGCAGTTGCAGAAAGCCATATTTGCATTTTCCCTTCAGTGAGGCCACAGTACTAAGTTTAAGGGAAATTTCAGTGTTCCCTGACAACAAACAGGATTGAAACAACGTGCCTGCATCATTTTTCTCCTTCCCCTAAAAATATGGCTGTTCAGAGTTTTAGTCTGCACTTCTACGGCAATAATGCTGATTTAATGTGGTTTAAAAACATATAAATATGTTAAAATAAATAAAAATAGTATTTTCATATCTTTTTAGAGACAGATAAGGATATTGATAAAATGGCTGTCAAGCTGCTCCAAATAAGTAAGTTAGAGTTTCAATACAGTAACATAAATAAATATATAACAGTTTCAAGCTATGTCATAGCAAACGATTTGATAGTAACTAATGGAGTTTATCAATTTGAAAATATCAACTACTTTGTTCTTGAAGAGTATGAACTACACCAGAAAGTCTCAGTTCAGTCAGTCATGAACATGCTAGCATCCTTAGCAAGTTATGCGTTTAGGAAACTTCAGTAACAATGTACAGGAAAAATGCAAATTACAGTGCAGATTTATAGTGCTACTGCAAAAACACTAAATACATACTGTATGTTTGAGTCACAGTCCAATATATTTTCTTACCAAGTACTCATTTAAAGATTTATTAACTTTTGAAACACTTCTATGTTCATAAACTTATAATAACATACCTTATGGAAGATAGATTCTGCTGTAATAATGGTAGCTACAGACTCTGGAGCTTTGATGGGCTGAAAAAGGAAGGTTATAATGATTAAACTGCACAAATAACGTAACAGTGTCAAAATAAAAATATAATGCATTTTTTGTAAATGAGATTTGGATGAAAAATTGATAATCTTTGGACCACTATATATGAAAACATCAAGAAATTAATAGCTTCAGTATCAGTAAGCTTTGACAAAATACATCTACCGTATATTTGTTACATGTTTTAACCAAGAAGGATTTCACATTCAGAAATGCATAGAATATTGATATTATACACAAATGAAAAAGTCTTTTAAGACATCGCTCAAGAGTCATTTTGCACATTATGCTCAACAAGTATGAGCTGAAGCATACTAAATACATCTATTTCAATGCAATAATATGCATAGTCTTATGTGATGAATACTCATGGTTCTTCAGGAAAGCAATACTAATGTAGCAAAGTTGTATATAATTTGATAAGCATGTAGGAAAATATTTATATTTGGTGCAGCCTTTTGTAAACCTTACTATTTTTAGTACAGCACCTGCCACACTGCTTTAATTTAGAAAGTGCTCAACTGTAGCTGGAGTCCATAATCACCTTACATTTTTCAACTTAAAAATATGCCTTCTCCCTTTTCCTTTAGTGGAAACTTTCTTTTCAGCAGCTGGAGCAGACTTGTATTTTGTGTTTCTTAATCGAGCAGATCTTCTGTGAATCTCTTGCTTACTCTAGTGTACAAAAGTAAGAAATAGTATCAATTCATTAGTATATACATGATCAAATATACAACAAGACATATATATATAGTTATTCATAGGGCAGGGGGACACAGTAGGACCCACTTTCCCCAGGCCAGAAAGAGATGAAACACCTATTCTAAACACATTTACTAAAAAAGTACATGCCGCTAATTTCAACAGAAATATTTTTATTTGTTTCAAGTGCTTAAACACTGTTGTTCAAAAAAATTTCCACAGGGTAGCTAATAATAATAATAATTTTATTTGTACCCCATCCTCCCCAGCCGGAGCCGGGCTCAGGGCGGCTAACATCATAAAACTAACACAGTATACAATGAAAGAATGGGTATCAATCTAGAGAGTTTCAGCAACTCAGAAATAATTTCAAATCATAGCAGAATTTACAGCACAGTCCTATGCATGTTTACTCAAAATTCCCACTATATTCAATGGGATTTATTCCCAGATAAGTGAGCCCAGGATCTCAGCCTAAGGCTGCAAACCAATATAGAATTATCTGAGAGTAGGCTAGTTTCATGCCTAAGATATGTGGTGTTCTGGCACTCCCCTCAGCTCCCCTGTACCACCGCACCATTCTTTGTAAGAAAACTGGGTTTCTGATAGGTATTTCTGAATTTTCCTTCTTGTTTCCACACCAGACACAATATTATGAATAGTTCTCATCTCTGACATAACCAGTCAAGAGGCATGTGGTGCAATACGGCGCTTATTAAAAAAACAAATAAGGGTTTGATGATCACAGGGTTCAGAAGCATATGGTATCGGTTTGGTATCATTTGTTACTATTTTCTCATATAAAAACGTAGCTAGTTAACAATATTGATCCTGCTCTAGTAAACCAACCCTGCTACCATCAAAACTCTCCATTTCCAACTCTCACTCCAATTAACCACCCACTTCCCAAAACCCAACTCACTTCTCAACTGCCTCCCAACAGCATTCAAACTCCCTTTCAAACTCTTATCTAATCACCATTCACTTCCAACAACCCAAACACATTTCCAATCCCAACATATACCTTAGCTCATGTATTATACTCACCTACGCAGTTACCGTATAAATCACGCACAAATCACAGAAACACCAGAACGCCACTCGTTACCAGTTTCTTCACACACACACCCCCATCTCTCTCTCTCTCTCTCTCCCCAAAGGTAGCATGTGCACTAGTTGCACCACCCCTGAGTTAGAGGCACAACTCGGATCAGGTTAAGTTTGAATGTGCACCGTAAGCTTGAAAGTTGTTGAGCTTTTATCCTTGCAATGCCTATTAACCTTAAGAGCTGGGCGGCGCCGGGAAGTACGGAAAATAGATCTGAAGCATAACGAAAAAAACGCGACGTGACCCACAGAGGTCCGATGTCGCACAGCTGACCTAGACCTAGAATTGTAGCGCTGGGAGGGACCACGGGGGTCATCTAGTCCAACCCCCTGCTGCAGTGGGGCTGCTCTTTAGACCGAGCTTTCCCTCCTTTTGTTCAATGGCCTCTTCTGGGGAGGGTGGCCTGGCCGGGCCAGCGCAGGAAGGGCGACCGAGGAGGCCCACTTGCTCCGCCGGCGGGCCCTGCTCCCCAAGAGCGCTCAAGGGACCCTCCGCAGCCCGAAAGCGGCCTCACCTGCTTCCCGCCGCCGCTCCCTCCGCCGCTGCCGCCGTTGCTGTGCTGCGCAGCCGCCGAGGTGGTGGCGTAGGCGGCTCCGGCGGACCCGGGAGGCCCCGGGCGGCCCGTGCAGTTGTTGCAAAGGATCTCGCCCTGGCCGCCTTTCTTCCACATGGACGAGGAGGTGGTGCGGCACACGCTGCACGTCGGCTTCAGGCCCAGCGGCATCTTGGCGCCGGGGGACCGCTCGCTCGCTCGGCCTCCGGCTGCGAGCCCGCTCGCCACGACGGATGTTGTGCGTGGAAGCGGAGCGGCTGAGGAAGCGGCGGGGGGCAGAGCGGCCGGGAAGGGAAGCGCCGCAAAAGAAGGGCCTCTGCCCTCTGCTGGCTGCCCACTAGGCTGCATGGCCTGAGGGGGAGAGACAAACGAGGAAAGCCGGGGCTTCCCGCCCTCAGGCCGACTGGAGACCCAGGGCGAGGTGGCCGGTTTTGCGGGGAACACACGGGCGGTATATCGTGCTCTTCCTCGGGAGCCCCAATGCCTTGAGTCACCCTTGAGGTCGGCTGTAGTCAGCCGAGCAGACACGAAACTAGCTCTTTCTCGGGCCCAAGGATAACCGGCTAACCTCGTCTAGCCTAGGGAAGTTATAAAGTAGGGGGCAAATAATGTAGTATGCATACAGTTGAAGCTCAACAGCGGGAGAGGGATGTGATAAAGGCCGGCCTCGAAAAGCAGCAGGTGAAATTATACTAAATTTATGGGCCATCTGAATCCTGGACTTGTTTACTCATAATCCCCCCCTCCCCGGTTATTGAGTGGCTGGTGGGTGGGATGGACGACAAAGTGCTGCATAGAAGCTGTATTTCTAAAAAATTCTTAGGGAACCTTGTACCTATCACAAGAAAGCAGCTGAAGAAAGTTAAGGATAAGATTTTGTTGGGGTGTGTGTGTGTAAAACATGGGGATTTATGTTTGTAGGCTCCATTCCTCTTCTGTAATAAACAGCAGTTTACAATATAAAATACACGGTACACAGAACTAAAAGCAACATTAAAAAGGTAAAGGTAAAGGTACCCCTGCCCGTACGGGCCAGTCTTGCCAGACTCTAGGGTTGTGTGCCCATCTCACTCTATAGGCCGGGGGCCAGCGCTGTCCGCAGACACTTCCGGGTCACGTGGCCAGCGTGACAAAGCTGCATCTGGCGAGCCAGCGCAGCACATGGAACGCCGTTTACCTTCCCGCTAGTAAGCGGTCCCTATTTATCTACTTGCACCCGGGGGTGCTTTCGAACTGCTAGGTTGGCAGGCGCTGGGACCAAACGACGGGAGCGCACCCCGCCGCGGGGATTCGAACCGCTGACCTTTCGATCGGCAAGTCCTAGGCGCTGAGGCTTTAACCCACAGCGCCACCCGCGTCCCATTACTAATCACTAAAACCAACAGCTACAAGTTAATTTCCTTCTAATAGTTAATTTCCTTCTAATAGTGTTCACTCTGAATTAGAGGTCTCCTGGACCTCCTACCATACCAACACAAGGACCCAAAGACTGCAGTGAACATGTATAAAGCAACCTACAAAACTGAAATAAGACACCGTCACAACCAATAATACCCCTCCCTCTGACACCTATCTGCTTTAAGGACAGAACTGAAAACTCATACTATTGTGTAGTTCAGTAATGACCTTCAGAATCCAAGGTTGTCATAAACTCAAAATTCACCCACAAAAAGAGTATGAAGGGAGGTAATAAAGTACATGAAATGAAACAAAAAAAAAAGTTACTTAAAATGAAGCAAGTCATCTTGAATGTGTATCACTAAAAGGTAGCTAGGTGTTCCCTTACCACCTCTTTTCCTATCTTGGGCTGCTGCTCCCTCCTTGCATTGTTTATTCTGTTATCATCAGGTTGGGCACTGCTTTCCTTTTGGGTGAAGACAGAGACAAAGTAGGTGTTGGGCAGTTCCTCCTCTCTGTCATCTAATAGCATTTCTCTGTCTTCTCCATGCAGAGGACCTAGTACGTGCTTCTTCTGCCTCTTGCTTTGAGCATAGCTGAAGAAACCATTTTAAAAAATTCTTTTTAACCTCTCTTGCAAGCCTGAGCTCATTCTGAGCTTTAGCCTGCCTGCCTTTCCTCCTGCAGCTGTTGGCTGCTCATGTATACTCTTCCTTCATGATTTCCCCCTTTTCCTTTTTCTTATACAGGATGACCTTAAATTTCAGCTCATCTGCAAGCTCCTTATGCAGCCACACTGGTTTCTTTAGTTGCCTCCCACTTTTATTTCTTGTTGGAATTGTCTGCATTTGTGCCTTCAATATTCAGGGACGCGGACTTATAAAAAATATTGGGGGGGCCCGGGAAAGCTCATGAATAATAAATAAGCTCATGAATATGCAAATAAAGTGGCGCCGCCTCCTCGTGAGCGAATAGGGGAGAGCGTGCTGCGCCTATTAATCAGCTCCAAAGGAAATTGGGTGGAGCTTTTGCTCGGGAGGGAGGGCAGGAGGCATGCAGCCCGCCCCTCCCTGTGCATTTTGGGCTGGGGGAGGGGCGGTGATGGCGCTCTGCTGGAGGGGCGCCGGAGATTATTGGGGGGGCGGAGCCCCCCCAAACGAATTTTTGAGGGGGCTCGGGCCCCCTCAAGCCCCATGGAGTCGGCGCCTATGTCAATATTTCACCTTTAAGAAACTCCCATCCATTTTGGATTTCCTTCTCTGAGTATTTCTGACCATGGAATCTCACCCAGTAGTGCCTTAAACATTTTGAAATCAGCCTTCATAAAGTCCTGAGTGCAAGTCTGACTACACCCAGCTTTCATTGCCTCTGTATAATGAAACCTGTGATTACTTCCTCCCAAGGTTCCCAGTACTTCTACTTCAGCAATCAGTTCATCCCTCGTGGTAAGGACCTGGTCCAAGATAGGTGATAAGCTTGTTACTTCTTGCACCTTCTGGGGCATCAAATTATCAGTGAGGCAATGGAGGAACTTGTTGGACCTTACATTCTTGGCAGAGCTTGAGTTCCAACAGGTATCGGGGAAGTTGAAGTCTCCCATGTCTACTATCTCTCTCCTTTTTTGAATGTTTGGTAATCTACTCTAGGAAGGTATCATCCAAGCCTTCAGTCTGGCCTGGAGGTCTATAGCAGACACACACAGTAAGGTCACCGGTGTTCTATCATTTTTACCCTTATACTCTCAATCTGCCTTCCATGCTCTAAGTTATGTATCTCTTCACAAGTGTACATACCCTTTCCTTTCCTTTTGGTCTATTCCTTTTGAATAGGTGATGCCCTTCAGTTTCTACATTCCAGTCATGAGTCCCACCCCACCAGGTTTCCATAATGCCCGTTAGATCCTGTATTAAGAGCTCAAATTTGCCTTTCTTGTTTCCCATACTCTGTACATTAATGTAGACAACTGAAAAAGTTAGAGACAGTTTCCCCACTCCAATGCCTATTGTAAACTGCCTTAGAGCTCATTTGGATGAGGGGGATGTTTTGAATTTAAAAATAAATGAATTAACTTGGGGTCACAGGGGTATGGCCATAGCAAGTGGTGAAAGGGGCCAGTCTTGTCCCCCTCTCATCTATTATTGTGCTTTCCTCTTGAGCTCACTTTTGCCAACTGTCACTTTTAGAATTCTGTTTCTTGAAACTTCTGGATGCCTTGTTGCCATAGTGTCCTTACTAAGTTATCACAGAGTATTAGTTTATATCTTTGGTAGGTAATGCTGCCTTACCTTTTAATAGTGCCAGTCCATTAAAGCAGAGGTTTTCAACCTTTTTGAGTCCACAGCTTCCTTGACCAACTACAGTCTTTCTACGGCACCCCTGTGGGGCTCAGGAGCCCAGTTATGTCACCCCTTGCCTGCAGAGCTTTTTTCTTCCCTTTTGTTCATTGTTAGAAAGTAAACTACTTAACAGTAGTGGTACCTTTACCTCTAATGACAAGTTGCCATATTTTGTATCAGTCTCTTCTCTAACTATTTGGATTCAGATTTAGATAAGTTTTAGATGACAAGGAAGGATATTCCCTGGAGAGCCATTTTTAGATCAGTTTTAATGCAGGGTCTCCATAGGAAATCCTAAAAAACTAGCTATAGAAATATAGTTTTATGGAACTATTTATGTAAATAGAGAACATATTTTTAACTCGATGAAAAGTTTTATTCTTCTTCATTACCTTAATCCCTTAGCTTCAGAAGCCCTCTGAACGAGAAGTGGTTACACAAGGCTATTGCGCAAGGGTGTTATGATCTAAAGTGAAAAAATGGGTAAGTCTCCTAATAGTAATGATAAGGGAAATATGTAAGAAAGTCTGGAGGAGATGGCTGACAGTCCCTCCCAGTTAGCCATGTTTCTGGGAGATGTTCATAGATGTTATAGCCAGTCTCCGCAGTCTCCGCAGTCATGGGGGTCACAAGAGCATGAGCCCAAGATCCTGTGAGATCTGGATTTGCAGCCCTTACGAGATTTGACAGTGAGGTTTGTGGGACTGGGATGCCTATAGATGGCTTCTCCCAAATCAGTTTGGCTGCATTCTGTGCAGGCAGGTGATGAAGCCTACCCTCCTTTGTTTCAGGATTATCTCAGTTTATAGTGGGTCATGCTGTGGAAAGCCAGGAATGATTTTTTTTCATGCTGTCCAGATTGACTTGGGGATTTTTTTTTTCATCTTCCTTGGAGTATCTCCTTTAGAACAAGATATAAGCAGTGCCTAGTTTCTGTAGTCTTAATTTTTGTCACAACTTATACGATATATATATATATTGTATATATATATATATTGTGTGTAGAAGACTGTGACCCATTGAGAGAAAGGGAGGTTCTTTTAATAACTTCCTATACACCCTTGGGCTGTGGAAACACCTATAAAGAGGATTATATGGGCTGAGTTCCAGACTTCCACACAGATTTTGGGCAGCTGTGGGAGCAGGACCTGACTGGCTGAACCATGACAGCCAATACAGCCTGAGGGCAAGCACAGCATGCAAAGCTGGGTTAGTTCCTTGAGAGGCCAACAGCTTTGATAGCTGGCTATCTTCCCACTACTATCCCAATACCTGTCTGCAAGGTATTGTGGTGAAAGGAGTAGGAGTCTTAAATATACAGTGGTACCTCGGGTTACAGATGCTTCAGGTTACAGACGCTTCAGGTTACAGACTCCGCTAACCCAGAAATAGTACCTCGGGTTAAGAACTTTGCTTCAGGATGAGAACAGAGATCGTGCGGTAGCGGCATGGTGGCAGCAGGAGGCCCCATTAGCTAAAGTGGTACCTCAGGTTAAGAACAGTTTCAGGTTAAGAACAGTTTCGGGTTAAGAACAAATTAAGTTCTTAACCCAAGGTACAACTGTAGTGTTATGGGCAGATGTCAGAGGTTGCTGACCTGGAATATACCAGGCATATATCAGGAACTGAGGATAGACTCTAGGCGATGAGCCTTATGGACCTAAATGCACACAGGGCTTGCAGACACTTTCAGGCAGCAGGGATTGGTGTTTGTGGTTGAGCTTTTTGATAGGCAAGCACATTCAAATGGTTAGGTAAGAAATAAATATCAGGAACCTGGCCCTTTGTTCTTGCCTGATCAACAAGGAAGTACTTCTAGCCACTGTTCTCTAGGTTCACAGTTGGTTTATTCAACAAAGTCCTCTAGGTGGTCCACAAAACAATATAAGAGTGCACTAAAAATGAAGGATATGATACGTTTTGTTCAACAGTAGTTTCCTGTAGTTTCTTTTATGGTAGTCCTCTCAGTGGGGCTGGTATTTTAACAATAATATGAAGGAAAGTTGTCACCCCCTACGTCACCACTTCGTTCTAAAGCAGGTGAGGAATTTGTGACCCTCCGGACATTGTTGGACTCCAACACCCAGCCAAAATGGCCAATGGGAGTCAAACATCTGGAAGGCCACATATTTCCCAGTGCTTTTCTACAGCTTTCTTCTATTTTTAAGACTATCATCCTCAACACATTTATTAGAGAACAAGCCCCATTGAATTCAAAGTAGACGAGCTTGGCATTGTGCTTCACTTGCAAAAACCACTGACTAGAAAGTTTCTGGGTATTAATCTGAAGGTGTAACTCAAATATATTTATCCAAATATTATCCACAAATTTATCCACAAATATATTTATTCTCCAAGATGGAGAATAATCTACCAGTAAGCTTTTTGTGGAGACATAAAGGTAAAGGTAAAGGTACCCCTGCCCATATGGGCCAGTCTTGACAGACTCTAGGGTTGTGCGCTCATCTCACTCTAGAGGCCGGGAGCCAGGCTGTCCGAAGACACTTCCGGGTCACGTGGCCAGTGTGACAAGCTGCATCTGGCATAGTATGTGGAGACATACTATGCCTCAAATACCAACATTCTGGTGAAGATTCTCCACAAGTTACAAACTCAGTAATACTGCTTGCAGAAACCGAACCTCCACCTTCTAGTAATCAGGAAAGTACTGTTGAAGAACCTTCCCCTGTTCTCGAGGAGCATCGAGCAAAAGTAAGAAGAGCAAAATCATCTCGGTCACAACACAGGCGTCCAAGAGGTGCACGGTCATCACATAAAAGACGGCGACCCATGACAGCCGTTGAGGAAGAAGGTCCATTTTCTGACAGAGCTGTCTGCACAGGTAAGTGACAACAGTTTCTGTCCAAGGACTTACGATGAGAGAGTACAGGAAGGAGCGCAAAGTAATTGCTTGCATTGTTGGTCAGGCATAGAATATATGTAATTCTAATAATAGATCCCTTTTGCCTTTCTCCCCTTTAGATTAGAATTGGCATTCTAAGATAATAGATATTTCAATAATAGATTCTGGTAAACTTAACTGAACAATTAAAAAACAATAAGGATGCTAAACTGCAGTAATATGTTAGAATTAGAATGGATTAGGCCCTTTTAATAGGAGATTCTTAAACAGATAACAGATCTGTGTAGGTTTTTATTGCACTGGAAAAAATACTTTGAATTTTACTATTTCAATGCAATTTGCATAATGGAAATTTTAGTTGAACATTTAACTTGAAGTGGTCAAGACCATTGGCTGGTACAATATAGTTGATGCTGAGGAACCGATTCTTTTGGAATAGATTTTTTTAAAGGTAAGAACAGTCGTGCTAACCCCTGATCTGCACTGGATTAGGATAAGGTAGAAGTCTGCATCATTTTGCTTTAGTTTAGATTCCTGCATTGCATGGGGTTGGACTAGATGACCCACAGGGTCCCTGCCAACTCTGCAATTCTATGATAAGCCCCCCAGACAGGGTGTTATAGGAACGGTTGATTGAGCTACTGCCTCTAAAGCTAGTCCATTTCCCAGAAAGGGGCCTTATTTGCAGCCTGCAAAAGTAGGCAATCACTGCCCCCTCCCGCCCTTTTCATTCTGGCTGGCACAAGCGGCAATGCTTTGGATGCAGCTGTTGATCTGCTGTTCCTGGCTGGGATTTTGGATTGCTCTCTTTAATACAATATATTTGTATGAGACAGCTGCATATTCCTGCATTGCAAGGGGTTGGGTTAGATTATCCTCAGGATCCCTGCCAACTCTACAGTTCTATGATTCTATGATACTGGCATTATGCAGTATATAATGTCTTCTCCATTTGGATGAGGTGAGGGTGAAAGGTGGTGGCACAGCAGGAAACATTTGACCCACACTGTTCAAGAGTACTACCACATATATGTGAAAGCGTCTTAGAACCATGGAAAATCACAGATGCACTCTATTTATTCCAATAGGTAGGAAGGGCCTGAGTCCATGTTCAGCACATGGGTAGTTAATCCTGGGTTTCGCTGCTACATTTATTTGTAATTGTTGCCCATTCATAAATGATTAATACTGCATGTATAATTCCAGATGCATACGGACTCCTTAACTTAGTAAAATACACAGAACGTGTAACTTTTGTCTCCTTGGAGTAGTGTTTTTAATATCTGGGATTTAAAAAAAACTAAATAAATACTAGTTTTGAAGTTTTGAAAATCTTTCAGATACTTATTGAGAAGTAATGGGAAAGCATGCAAATGTTAATAAAATATTTAAAAACAGCCAGACAAGCCATTAAAATAGCTCCATGGTCTTCTGGGTTCCTTCCTTATCAAAACCAGATTAGGTTAATCCATGGGCGTAACCGGGTGGGGGCAGGGGGGCAGCTGCTCCCCCCGATCAATTAAAACAATAATCAAGTAAAACAATATAAATACAGTACTAAACTAACTGACCAATCACGTCGGTTCTGCCCCCCCCCACAAAGTCTAACAAAAATCCTGGCTACACCCATGGATTAATCCATTCTTCTCCCCACCCCATATAACCTGTACCATTTCCCTAGTTTTCTACAGGAAATTATATCTTATGTCTACACTTCAGCTGGGCTTGACCCTTGGTATAATTTGCACGTTCGTCTACTGGTAAGTATAGCTAAGTAATCACAGTTTCGATTAATTTCGGATGCAACATGGTGAGCTGCATGTTTGTTCTATTGTGGCAAAACTTGGTATCTTAACCACTGCTTCTATTAGAGGGGAGGTATTCCATACCGTTTATGATGCCCCCAGCTATTATGTTAAGAGGCTACATGGCAGCCATGATTTTACCATCTACTTCTGTTCAGTCCCATCTCACCTCACACAGCTGCCTGGATCTGTTTGTCAGATCTTTCTGTGACTGTGACTGTGGCTGAGAAGGGCAGCCTGCTCTCTGGTTCTGTATTCCTTTGTTTGGCTGGCTGTCCAGATCCAGCCATGTTTAGTTCTTGAATTACAGGGGAGCTAGAGGGGTTTGGCTAAAGGGCTAAACTTATGGATTTCATAAAGCCCGCCCCCCCTCGTTCTCCTGCACTGTGGTTAACCAATAAAGTGTTGTGACATCTTTTTATTACCAGGGGTATTTACAGGAGTTACTGCTTTCTTTGAAGAAAGCAGTGTATCAGTTTTCTAATAAAATATATTGTTATGAATTGTGGGTGCCAAAATCCCCAAAATCCCTAATAGGTGTTAGAATATAATCAGTGCACAGAGTGTTAAAGTTGCCAGACACAGGATTAATAAAATCTTAAAATACAGGCCAAATCACCTTCCTAAATTCAGGAAATTGCCTGGGAGATGAGCAATTAACCAAAATCAAAGGGAAGGTAATGAGCCATTAGGAATGTCATTAGGACGGCAAAGGCTGTGCCAGATGGTAAGGCCCTCCCTCTGCTCAGACTTCATTTTGGAAGGCAATAGAGAGTAGAGTTTAGGATTGGAGTGGCTGGAATTTGACCTAGGAGAGAACAATTGCAGTCTGTTCAACACAGCAAGCTGCTGAGAGTTAGAGCCATGGCTGGGGTCTGTTTAAATACAAGGCTGCTGCAGTTATGGGAAAAGCAAGACCCTTTGGGAGTGCTAATGCTGGGAACCCCTCCACCATAGGCTCAGGTTGCATATGTGTGTGAATAAATCCTATATCATAAAGACACCACAGTCTCCATTGTGCCTCATTTCCAAAAGGAAACACGGACCCTGGGTAAAGTGTGCTAGGAACCCCTGGAATCTCACACTGCTGTGGAGATTGGGGTGGCATGTCACAATATATTAGTGCTGAGTGTCTCCAGCCATAACATCTCACAAAAAGAAAATGTGTATCATTCAGCCTCCCCCCGAGGTCCAGTGAAGCAGCTGCCTCAGCTGGTGGAGGCCCCCAAGGCTACATCCTCGCAGGCATTCCTCTCACCTCTGCCACCTCTGTCAGAGAGGCACTTCCTGCTTTGTCTCAAGCAGTCAAACGGGATGTGCCACCCCTGAGCCCAGGTCAGGAGAGCTGTGTATTGAAAGCCCCCAACCTTTCATAGGAATTAGTCACATTGAAAGGACAACCATTTAGACCAAGCATAGGCAAACTCGGCCCTCCAGATGTTTTGGGACTACAACTCCCATCATCCCTGACCACTGGTCCTGTTAGCTAGGGACGACGGGAGTTGTAGTCCCAAAACATCTGGAGGGCCAAGTTTGCCTATGCCTGATTTAGACTATAATATCATTGACTAAGGTTGCTTCTAATTTGATATATTTCTTATATCAAATATATTATGTTTTAGCTTTGTTTTAAATGCTGTTATGAAATATCGTGAGTGTAGAAATTGTGTGTTAGAATAAATAATAAACTACCAGTTCTCTGCATTGGGATCCTTTCTGTAACTGCTTTTTGCTTGGTTTTTTGGCCAGGAAATACCTTAAAATATGGGTACGAAGACGCCCATGGTTTTGCTATACCATGTTGTAAGTATAGTGCATGTAGCTGCCAATGAAATAAAATCTAATCTCTTAATAATTACAATAGAGTATATTATTTTTTTACAAACATGTTTTATAAAATCAGTGTATGTAAACAATGAAAAATGTTATTTGTAGTATCAATTATGTATGCAAACAGACTGAACATCTATGTACATCAACATGCTTTCAAGAAAATATGCGGTTTTAAGTTAATTTCTCTTGTAACTTAATTTAAGCTCTTCAGTAGCAATTAGAGCATTTTGCCATGCAAAACTGTAACATTTGCTTTTTTTTTGTTTTTAGACCATTAATCATGTTGCTGGCTATTACAATAGCCTGCTGTGATCAAGCCCGCAGGCGATTTCCACTGGACGTCATTATGTTGTTAATATTTGTAAGTATTTTTTGAAGGCAGTGTTCTGTTTAGGGCAGTGTTCTTAAACCTTGGATCCCCATAAGTTATTATACAGCTCCCATCATTCCCAGCCAGTTTAGTAAATGGCCAGGGATTATGGCAGTTGTAGTCTAACAACATTTTGCTGTTTGAATTTGGTAAAAGGGAAAATAATAAGTACGGTAAATAATAAAAAGGAGAAATCCCTGGATGGCAAGATCCAGGTTTGGGGCAAGTACTCTTTGGTAAGAGCCCCAGCAGAGATTTAAAATCACACAATATAAATCAAAGTATAGTGTGGGAAGATAGGCTGTTAGACCTTTAAAATATCCCCTTCCAAAGTTCAATACTTCCCTTAGCCCAGAAAGCAACCACACATTTGGTAACTTAAAAATGGTGTACTTACAAACTTTCCAAAAGTCGGAATCGTGTGCTTTTTCATGCACCGTTGAGAAAAGACAGGTAGTAAAACTTCGATTCTAAAGTGGTAAATATTTATAAATTATTTGTATAGAAACACAAACATTGCTTGCTTAAGTTTTGGAGCATTCAGCTTAGACATCCTTACTGTTAGGGTTCACATGGTCGAATGGGAAGAACAAAGGCTTGATAGCTATTCCTCCCAAGGTGATGGAGAAGGACCTAGCTAAGCCTGACAGGACAACTTACTCTATGGTCTCAACTGACTCATGAATTAATTAGAGTTAAGCCTGTTGGTTATATGAAAGTCCCCCACACCTCGGGACTCAGGGTCAAAGAACCCTGGTTTATTGTACAAATTGTAACATTGCTGCCCTAGACAGGCTCTCTCTCAACCTGTTACATGTTGTGCAATCTAGAATTTGGCTTACCAAGAAGAAGGTAGGAAGTATGTATGGTGTAAGAGAGGAAGCACAAGTTTATTATGCACACTTTATTTGCAGCTTTGTCCATTTGTTGTGAGCTCTCCAGCCTTCTAGGACAAAGTTCACCCAAATGGCGCCCATGGGTGCTCGGGTGCCCACACATACCTCCTATGGCACCCATGAAAATTCTCTGCAAATGTTCCCTTAAAAAAATCCACGAAGCATGAGGGAGCTTCTCTTCGTAAATGTGGTGGTGACTGATGTGTCTTTCCCCCATTGATAGGAGAGGACTTCTGGGTGAGGCTTATCTGCACCATTTTTGTTGGTATATCTGTTTTTCTACTCTTTCAGATATAATGGCCACCTTTTGCTACGCTATGCACTGCACCACAGCCATTTTGTGACTGGCACCCCTGCATCATTTTCTCAAATTTCTAAACATGCCCATTGGCTCAAAAAGTTGGGAAAGCTCTGGGCTAGAGTCATATTGCAGCCCAGCTGTTCCATTTCATTGGGCTGTGAAACTGTGATTCTCTCTTGGGAATTAGGATGCATCCAAGTCAATTGTGTTCCTTCTAGTGCTCAAAGGCAGGAGACATTGTTACTCCAAAGGAAGATGTCCAGCCCCCCTCCCTTGAAGTATCAGTTTTGTTTTCTGCCTTCACTCAAAGAAGCCAATCCCAGCATTCCCTGTTCCCTTGGCTACTGCTCCTAATGCAGGGCGGTTCAACTTCTCAGACCAAGTGGGCCGCAAGAGTACTTTGACACAGAACCCATGGGCCACACACTGAATTAAATGTCCACATCGTAAATTAAAGTGCTTGCAATATAGTTAATATTATTTAATATACAGAATTAATATATTTATTTGGACTACCTTGATCTGAAGTGGTTTTTGCCTTTCAACTTGTGTTATTTCCCCAGGGCCTGCCAGTTCAAACAGCGTCTTCTGTCGGTGTTCTCCCATTTGGTGTTCTTACTGTTAATTTCCTTTTTATTAAAGGAAAATAATAAAAAGGGGGGGAAATCTGTTTGTTTTTCAGTTGTCTGCTTACCTTTCCCATCTCCTTTTCTCTGTCCCTCATTGCTTCCTTTCATAGTAAGCATAATTAGGTAATAAGTCAAATGCCTCAAAAAAAGGAGGCACTGCCTTTTCTTCTAAAGCAGTGTGCCTCCCTCTCTGGCCTCCTGCTCTGTGAGCATGAGAATGTACACTGCCAGAGTGAAAAACAGATGTTTTCAACTGGCTGCTTCTCATCCACTTGGGGCACATGATCATGATCATCATTTTGAGTCCAATAGTGACATTCCCAGACATGGCCTAAATGGTCCTGCTGTAGCAAAAGAGGTGCAGGCAGGAGAAGGCAGAGGTTCCGGACTCCCAGAGGCCTGATCACATCTCCACAGTGACTGCTGCAGTGCCAGCATCGGATCTGGTATGCAAAAGACCTGGTAGATGGGCAAACCAGAGTATGCAGCGGGACTCCACAGAACACCTGTTCTTAGTTTCCACCAGGCATTAGCAGGACAGAGGTATTAGGAGGGTTTATCAGAAGAGGAAGAGGTGCTTGAACCAGCTCTAGCCCTGTAGGTATTGTTCAATTCTACTTCTTCCTTGGGGCAGATTTTTTGGGGTTTTGATGAATCACCACCCCAAGACCAATGTATTGATGCTGGGCACCAGTGAGCCTCTTGGCTTCCCTATCAGAAGGTTGGCGATTCAAATCCCCGTGATGGAGTGAGCTTCCGTTGCTCTGTCCCAGCTCCTGCCAACCTAGCAGTTCGAAAGCACACCAGTGCAAGTAGATAAATAGGTACCGCTGTGGCGGGAAGGTAAACGTTCTCTGGTTTCAGTCGCAATATTCTGTTGTGCCAGAAGCGGTTTAGTCTTGCTGGCCACATGACCCAGAAAGCTGTCTGCGGACAAATGCTCACGCCCTTGGCCTGAAAGTGAGATGAGCGCCACAACCCCATAGTTGCCTTTGACTGGACTTAACCGTCCAGGGGTCCTTTTACCTTTAATTGGCATCAACTTTCTACCTCTGCTCTGCTAAGCTTGATGCAGATATACTTAAACAGAAGAAGCTTTGCTTTCTGATCTGTCAGCTTAACTTGCTGTTTCGTCAACCTGCCATTCAGAATGCATCTGCATTAAAGCCAAAGTAGTCCCACATGGCAAAGTCTGTTGTTTCCCAAGGGTGCCCTGAATTTAAGTTGTACTGCAGGGGCTCATATGAATTCTTACCCTGTGGCTAGAGGTCAAACACAAATTTGGGTTTCCCCTTCCCAATTGAAACTAGCCAGACTTCATCATATACAATTTGCAGATTGACAGCCTATTGTATCCATCAGGATATTGAGGATGGATAATGGAGCAATGGGTCAGATTTAGAGGAACCTATTTCAGCAATATTGTTTAATGAAGCTCATTTTTGCCCTTACCTCTTCTATTTTTCATCAGGATTTAATAGAATCATAGAATTGTAGAGTTGGAAGGGACCCTGGGGATTATCTAGTCCAGTCCCCTGCAGGATCCCATATAGGGATCAAACTTGCCACCTTGGTGTTATCAGCCCCATGCTCTAACCAACTCAGCCCAGTTCATGGGTTTAAGGAAAATCTAGAATATGCACCTTCTGTAGGGCTTAATTCTCTGTTAAAAAAAAAAAAGAGTAATGTGACTTAAGATTTGCACAGGATGATAGATACAAACTTAGATGCTATAACTGTTTTTCTGCCAACAGATTGGCAGTTCAGTAACAAATGTAATGTGTACTTTAAATGTAATATAATTTTACTTTTATTCCTTTCTTTGACAGGTAGTCCTTTTGGAGAGTTTTTGAAGACTTTTTAAAAAATAGAACCCAGGACAGGAAGGTGCTTCTTTCTATGTCTCCTAATTAAGGGGGAGAAGAATCCTCCAACTTTTTGCCAGTCTCTTCAGTCCCTTTACGCAGCAGTTTAAATGTTGAGATAGTGCTGGTGCTGCACAGGTTCTTGCAGTGCACAAAAGTTTGAGAAGTTTTCTTTCACCTAGCTGGAGATGTTTCTTTCACAGATAACTTGACGATTTCATAGTACTCAGGCGGGTTGTTACCCAAATTCATTGTCCATTATGAATGTTATTTCACCTCTGATTGCAGGATAGGGAGCACATAAATCTATTCCAGCAGTCAGATTGTGCTTCAGGTGCAGAGCCAGTAAACTTTAGGGTGTTTTCTTAATTGTGTTGTTTTAGTGAGCAAACACATAGAAAGCATCAAGACAGTAGCAAAAGCTCTCCTTAGCTCCTGTGGATCCTACGGAAGCATATAGTCTTTTCCCCAATGGCAGAAGCTTCACAGGGATTCCTTAGATCTGGCTTCCAAAGGCAAATATAAGCAACACAGGTTCCTCCCATTTAAGCATTCAATTTCTGCCAAAGCTGATTGCCTGCTTGCTGCATTGACTAAGGTGCAGGTGATTCACATTAACTTCTAGTTCCCTAACTATTGCAACAGGTACTCAACAGTATTTAGGTCACCCTGCACTGGGTTGCATATGGGTTCTCTAGCAAAGTACTGTGGTAAGATATTTGTCAGGTTCTATGCCCCTTTGCCAGGGAAAAGTAAAAGCTGAGATGATGTTTTTGTCTCATTCACAGTTAGCGTTAGGCAGCATAGGCAGATGCTTAGACAGATACAAGCACAGATTCCAGGGCAGGAGAACTAGACAACTTCCTTTGGTGCGACAGCATTTTCTGCTTTTGAGCAATGGGAAGAACGTAATCCCACTTGAGTGCATCCTAATTCCCAGTAAGAAACACCTTTCAGAGAAGACTAACATTCCCTTCTAAAGACATGTACTTAGAAGTAAATTACGTTTAAATCAGCTGGATATAGTTCAAGGCTTCTGCAGATGGGATTGCCCTCTGGACTGGAAATTGCTCAGGCACTGTGCTACTGTATGAAGTTAACTGTAAGGTTAGTTGGAACTAAAGTTGTTTTTTGAACTGGTGCATGGAATGAAGGGTTTCTGAGGAGCACCAATACAATACTAAAACCTAAGATAACTGTTTTGGGATAAGTTGTAGCAAAACCCACACAGTATTAAAAGTTCCTTTGTTATACTCTTCAGTTTTATGTGGCAAAGTTGCCACATTATGTGTTTTACAAAGTTGCTACAGCAACTATTACAATAACAACCCCATCCCCATATGGATCCCCCATTAAGGGTCTAGGTTTGTTGGTTGGGAAATAGCAAGGTAGGGGAATTCTATACACTGGATTCTGTACACTATTGGAGAACCTCCTAGGCTGAATAAATGGAGAGGATGTTATGCTATAATAATAATGCGTTTCCACTTGCATATAATTATTTCTAATTTTTATTTTTAGACAATTTGTGAGGGTATGTTGCTTGGATCAATTGCAGCGTAAGTAGTTGGTCAATAAATTGAATTGGCTGTACTGGTGTAATTAGGCATATCATGTTTCACATTAACAGTTATCTTTCCTTGGCATTTAGTTTCTTTGATGCTGATGCAGTTATGTGGTCAGTTGGTGCCACTGCGTCGGTGACATTTGGACTTGCCGCTTTTACTCTTCAGAAAAAAGTAAGCAATCATTTATTAACTGTCTTGACCCACTATTTGATAAATTAATCGCTAATTCAGAATTAAAAATAGGTTTGTTCTGTCATCTGAAAAATGTCATCAGTGTGTGATATTTTGGCATAATGAAAGAATACTGAGAAAGATCAGTAACACAAATTGACACTTAGGAACATATATCATTCTCTCCAATATATATCAGTGGTTATTGAATTTATTTATTTTTTGCCTACAGCCCAGATTAAAATATTTGGGCTGGAATCAAGTAGAGGCTATGATGTTCCAAGAAATCCTAAAATAACTCTCCTTTTGATTCTTTATTCTGAAGTAAATGAATACCGATTTACAGCTGATTACTACACTACTAACAACAGCAAAACAGTGTATTGCACAAAAATTGAAAAATAAAACTCCCCCTACTGTAACTGATTGGTTAAGGAAAACCTGTAATACTATTTTAATGGTAAAGCATAAATATGAGAGAAATGCTATAGATAATAATAAAACAAATTTATTGGGAAGTGCTTTGTTTTTACATTTTTGAAATGACACTGTAAATGATATATTTTCTTTTAATCTGGTCACTGTACTTTAGTTTTTCTTTTCTTTTCCTTTGCTAGACAGTACTGCCCCTTTTCTCATTCATAAGCCATCTTGCATTTCTTTTTTATTTCTCTCGCTATTTGTTTTATTTTTTCTTGACAAGCAAGCTTGTTTGATGATGTACAACGGTCTTGGCTACTGTGTGTGTGTGTGTGTGTGTGTGTGTGTGTGTAGTGCTTTTTTCTAAAAAAAATGTTTAGGGTTCTCTCATTTTCCTACTCATATTGAAATACTGCCCCTCAATGTGGCCAAACTTAGATTCACAAAATGCTTAGGGGTATGCATACCCCTGTATCCCTCCCCCCCCCAAGAAAAAAGCACTGTATGTATGTATATATTTATTAATTTCTGTGTTGGCATGTTGACAAAAGCATAATAGTGATGCTATAGAATACAGTCGTACCTCCACTTATGTATCCCTCTGGTTACATAAACTTCGGGATACGTAAGCGGCAAACCCGGAAGTATATTTCTGCGTTATTGCTCTACTGCAGTGTGTGTGTGCACAGAAGTGGTGCCTCCAGTTGCAGAAACCTCGGGATCCGACCGGAGCTCCAGAACGGATCCCGTCCGCAACCGGAGGTACCACTGTAATTGTTTGTATGCCACAGCATAGCTGCTTATATGTGGTCTAAATGAGTTTATTAATTGCTCCATTAGTAAGATTTTGGATACATACATTCTTATCTTTATTAGAGTTATAGCTAATGCTCACATAGAATCATAAAATTGTAGAGTTGTAAGGCTCTCCAAATATCTAGTCCAACGCCTACAATGCAGAAATCTCTACTAAAGCATCCATGACAGATGTCCTTCCAAACTCTGCTTAAAAACCTCCAAGGAAGGAGAGTCCACCACCTCTCGTGGGAGCCTGTTCTGTTTAATTAGAAATTTCTTTGTGATGTTTAGTCGGAATCTCCTTTCCTGTAACTTGAATCCATTGGTTCGGGTCCTACCTCCAGAGCTGGACAAAACAAGTCAGTGCCATCTTGCATATGACAGCCCTTTAAGATATGGAAAGATGGCTATCATATCTCTGCTGTTTTCTCAACTACCCAACTCCCTTAAACGTTCCTCATATGTTTAGGTTTCCAAACTCTTAATCATCTTGCTCACCCTCCTCTGCACTTGTTCCAGCTTGTCAATATCCTTCTTAAATTGTGGAAAGGGAGTAACACAGAAGGGGCCAAATTTCAGTTGTGAAAGAAAGACAGAAAAAATTGCTTGCAGCTCATTTTTTCTGTGGTTATCTGACCTTGTTGCAGTTCAGGAACTCCAATTTGATCAGATAATATGGTTCTCTGTATTTTGTATCTCATAACACTGAAAGGCTAGATGTAATTTTAAGTGCATTGGCTCTTAAAAGTAGTTTTCTGATTTACTATATTATTATGTATGGCTACTTCATCTTATCTAGACACTAGCATATTAATTAATAGTAACCGCGTGTATGCCATATTAAAATTTGTTTGATTTCCCACAAGATTCTCCTTCTAAGTGGTAAAATTAAGATATATCCTTCAGATGATATTTCCTTCTGGTAAAGCTTCAACAGACTTCTGAAACAGAGGGATTTTTCTGCTGTTGGAATGTGCTCCCTTATTCCATCCACTTTGGTGTGTTTTTTCCATGCTGAAAGTTTTTTTTTTACCGGGTTTTATAAACAAGAATAATGTTATACAGTACAAATAAGTATCGAGCTATATCCCTTGAGATACTTTGCAAGATAGGGTAAGAAAATGTATTAACACCTGATATTCCTTGGTGAATGTCTATTCTATGGGTTGGGTGGAGAACCTCCCCATTCACCAATTTCTGTTCTTATCATATCTGCATGGCAGGAAGTGCTCATACCTCTCTTCTTTTTCTTTAGTGTGACCTTACAATCACATCAGGAATACTGCTAATTTTGTATTTAGTCTTGCTTATTTATGGATGTTTTTGTGCTATCCTGCAATCAATGGTAAGTAAAACATTTTCCTTTTTGAAGTAAATAACCCTTTTGCGTTTTATTGTCTGCATCTCCCCCAAGCTTGTTTCATTTTCCTCTTTCCCAGTATTGGTTCCCCCCTCACCAAAGTTTAAAGACGACTCAGGTACCTTAATTCTTGTGCGCTAGACTTTCCCTCCGAATTATACTGCAAGTGCTTTTGATTCTGCCCAATCAGGCTTTGTTCTTACCTTGGAAGGGTCTTCAGGTAGGATCTTGGTCCACATTGTGCCTGAATGTGAGAATCACAATCCGTTCTGGGGAAGTAGGCAGCTCTTCCCTCCTTTATTTCCTACCTTCACCTGGAGGAATTCCCTTTCCATCTCAGTTCTCCATTTCTGTGTTCATCACCCTCAGGCTGCTGCACCCTTAACTGGACAGGGGTAGCCTAACCTCTGCTGTCTATGCTCTGGTAACCTCTAGGTGAGATTACTGCAATGTGTTACACATAGGGCTGCCTCCAAAGACGGCTCAGAAACTTCAGCTAGTGCATTAGCCAGGGAATTTAGTGCATTAGCCTAGTTTGTATTTCTTGTATCAGCTTGTCTTTGTTCAAGTTTTTCTCTAGAAGTCTTATAGTGTAGACCTTTGGTTTGGACATTTTGTGCTGCATGTTGAGTAGTGGGTGGTGAGCCGGGGGGGGGGATGTTAGTGGGGCTGGGGGCAGTTTGCCTACTTTTTTATACCATGCACTGTATGAACCTGTTTAGTGTTGTGGGGATTCTCTTTGTTTTGTTTTGGAGAAATGGGGATGCTGTTGTGGGGGTGTTTTCAGGGGCGTCTTTCTCCAAATGGACCCAGTGTTTCGTCTTCTAAAATATATGGGATTATGTGGCAGACTTGGTTGGCGATGTCATATGATTCTATGTTGGGGAAAGCCTTGGGGGCAAATACAAAGACAAAGACTGCTGGGAGGGATCATATTTCTTCCATCCTTCCTCTCTTCACCCAGCGGTTTACAAGGTGAAGGATAAGTGGCTCCTGCCAAAGATATGAACAGATTTCTTGCGGAATGCTGTTGAAATTAGGCCAAGGGCCATATGAAATTAGATGAAGTTTCCTTCAGTCTCTGGTGAGGTTGAATGGCCCACTGGATAGGCCTGAAATGGTCTTTGACCCAGGACAGAGAATCCAGGCAGGAAACTAGCAAGCACAGACGCAGGTCCTGCCCAACCATTAGGCAAATCAAAAGCAGCCACTTTGTGCAGAGGAGTCCCATGGGGTGGTTCCCCTGCAGATGTGCTGCCCACCCCTGGCTGCCGCAGCTGAATAACACCAGTCAGATTTTGTGGGCAGGTGTGGTGGCTTGACACCTTCCTGTTTGCCTCAGGCGGCACATGCCTTCACTTGTTCACTCTTGATACCCACCCACTTGCAAAATAAGTGGGTCTGTACCTTGCTCTGTGTTCTGTGCCAGCCTTGACAACCCTGGCATCTGCTGCTACTAGCATTTTCCTATTTCACAGTAACAGTGCGAATACCAATGTGCTAATCGGTTCTCTTGGTTTTGCATACTGCTAACTGTAAACTCTGTATTTGCAGTGGTTACGAATAGTACATGCTGCTGTTGGAACACTAATTTTTAGCATAGTAAGTCTTAAAGGAACTGAAGGCTGAATCAACTGAGATGCTCTGTATGTGAGAAACAAAAATCTTACTTTTACTCATAGCATTAACTATGACCAGGGTGGGGAAGCTATATTTGTGACTGATTTTCCTCTGAATCACTGAGTTGACGACAAGACTCTTGGGACCATGGTTCAGATGCTAAATCAGTTAAATTATAGGAAATGACCTGAGGTGAGCCTCATTCTTGTCTGCTCCTATTCTGTTCTCATTTGTTTATGAGAAGAGAGTGAAAGCTTTCACTTTAGACCAGACTGCAGTTCCCTATTATGTATAAAAGCAGAAAACCAAAGTTTGTTCTATCCACGTTTGAAATTGAAGGCATGTTTTGGTCCTTGTTTAGCTAGTGAGTAAAAGCCACAGTTCCAAATTGATATGTAACAAGGAAGCAGCGTTTGTTCTAAAGTGAAAACAGAATATTTCACTCTTTCCCCCTCTTCTCATATGCAACTGAAGGGAAAATATTCAAGCCTGATGCTTACTGTGGCTCATTCAGTCATATAAACCATGGTTCAAATGATATCTGAACAGGGCCACAAGGTGTGGATGGTTATGTATCTATTAGTTTGTTTAAAATGGTGTTTACTGAAGAATCTTTAATTGAAATCAGATCTTAAACACTTAATGCCAAAATAAACTGTCTTGAGTTTCTAGAATGAAATCGATCCCTGTTTTGGAGTGATATCAGAGATATCCAAGATAAAAAGCCAGTGAGCATATGTATGGATGGGATTTTACTTTCATGTTTATAGCGTTGCAAACAGTGGAATGGTGAATCACATTTAGTTCCCATTAAAATCTTTACCAACTTGTCCTACTGATTTCAACAGGACGGGTTCAACTAATTCATTCTGGGATCCAATCCTGTATTATGAGCAAACACACTCTACATGCTAATTTCACTTCTTTTTTTAAATGCCAACAATGACTTCTGCAACTTGAAGTGGCTTCTGTTATTCCTAGATAAGACATTAATAAGGAGACCTATCTTTCCCATACAGGAAGATCAGAAACTGGCTAGAGGGATACAATGAGTAGTAGGTTAACAATGTGTACTATTCTGCTAGGTATTTGCTTTCAAGAGAGCCGTTATTTAGGATGAAAAAATTAAAATGACAGCATACACTGACTTTTTTTTCTTTTTTAAAAAGTATCTGTTGGTGGACACACAACTAATGCTCGGAAAGAGGGACCAGTATCGTCTGAATCCTAATGAGTATATTTTTGCAGTACTGAACATCTACATTGACATCTTTTCTTTCTTTTTATTTTTATTGCAATTTGTTGGTTGGAGGAAGTGAGAAGCACATAAATAAAGGGGATTGTTTTAGAAGTAGCCCAAGAGTCTGAAGAGCATTGCTTTGGGGGGGGGGGTTTGTTTTAAAAGCATCATGGAATATGTTGAGGAAGCAAAACTATCGGCTAGCTAAACAAACATATTTTTTTTAGAGTGAACAATAGGTAAATGTTTGTTTAAGGGTATAAATTCACTAAATTTATTGCATGTACATTTTAAATGGGATATCAAAATTCTGAATGAAGTATTCAAAGACCTTCTCCTCAAAGACACAGATCAACTTCAAAATTTAATATGAACCTATTAAAGTCCAATTTGACTATTCCTATGCTCATACTTATGTAGCCAAAACTGAAACACCACTGCACGAGCGATGTACCATCAGACTCTGGGCAACCTCAGGATTTGCAGGTACTCAAAATATCTTTAGAAAAACAACCAGCCCTATAATGTAATGGTGTGAGATGTTGAGTGGGCCCCTTATTGAAAATGGAGTTGTGATGGCTGGCTGGGATTGAGCATATTTCTACCACACCACCAGAAACCCCAAATGGGGAAAACCTGAAACAGGCCAATGAGTATTCTCTGTAGGCACGGGATGCTGTTTCGGAGAGAAAACCTGGAAATGGAAGGTACCATTGAAGGGTGTTACTGAGTGGGTACTAGGATACCAGCAGGTGGGTACTGTTATCACTTGAAGAGGCAGAAAACATCCTTTTTTTGGATGTGGGATCCTTTTCCTGTAGAGGGCAGTCCCCCGTTGGCTTTTTCAAGGATAAAAGGTAAAGGGACCCCTGACAGTTAAATCCAGTCGCGAACGACTCTGCGGTTGTGGCGCTCATCTCGCTTTACAGGCCGAGGGAGCTGGCGTTTGTCTGCTCCGCAGTCAGTTTTTCTGGGTCATGTGGCCAGCGTGATTAAGCCGCTTCCGGCGCAACAGAACACCGACACCAGAGCAGCACACAGAAATGCCATTTACCTTCCCGCCAAAGCGGTACCTATTAATCTACTTGCACTTTTTGGGGTGCTTTTGAACTGCTAGGTTGGCAGGAGCTGGGACCGAGCAATGGGAGCTCACCCCGTTGCGGGGATCTGACCCGCCGACCTTTTGATTGGCAAGCCCATGGCTCAGTGGTTTAGAGCACAGCGCCACCCGCATCACATTTTCAAGAGTAGAGGTCTACAATTCACACTGGTGGTGCCCTAATGCCCACTTGAGAATGCAGCACATGAAGCTCTGAACAGAAGGGCTCTACACATTGGGCCAGTTGTTCTCGCTAGTTCTAATCCAACAATGCAAACATGTAGCCCAGTAAGCTACTTTAACCAACTGTTTGGTGATGAGGGAAAAGTGAGGACTAAATTCAGTCCTGATTCCCATCCTGAACAGCTGATTGGTGATATTTTTGAACTTTTAACAGGTTGGAGAACTGTGCATGTAGCAGCTATTTCTTTATGTATTTTTGCTACCCTGATTCCTAGCTAGATCAGGGATGTGTCTACTTAGACTTTCTGTTCAATATGTAAACTGATTAAGCAGTGACCACATGCGCTCGCCTTGTATCAACAGAATCAAGCTAACCAGATTGGTGAGCTGTATACACCTACTGATGTACTGGACTTATTTGTCTTTACACACACACACCCTATAATTTTCCCTTTCCATAGCTTTAAAGTTAACTATATCAAATAACCCAATTATTTAAAACTCCATGCAGTTCAGCTACTTAGGTAGATACCTTGGTTCATTATTATCTTTTTAAGTATCTCTGCACACAGTACTTACTTAATGTTACATGGCACTTTAAATACGTAATAGTAGGTTGGATCCAAAAGTACTTAAGTGAAACTAAATCAACAGATGCTCTTCCACAAGAGCTTGTGCAAGCATATTGATTGCTTTATTAGAACTGGTTTAGTAGCAATGTACAACACTTGCAGAATAGGACCAGATGTTATTTTCTTTCTTTTCCCAGTTCTTTGGCTCCAATCCACTATTTGTTAAAGAGAATTAAAATTAATGAGACAAAATGAAATTAGATTAAGTAATAAATGTTTAATCAAAGAATTTTACATATTATTAACAGCATTCATTTGGCCAAACATCTACATGGTTGTAATATCCTACTGTATATAAAGTGGGAATGTATCAAGTATAGACTATGAAAGTGCAAATAGCATTTTCAAGATTATTATTTTTACATTACAAAATTAATTGGTTTACAAAATAGGCTTGCCAAACTTTCTTTCTGAATTGCAAATTCAATTACTGGGGTGGTCTTAAATTTAAATAAGTACCAAGAAAATACAAATTTAATATGCTAAATTTCATGCTCAGAATAAAGTCAACACAGGAACAATGGTGTATACTGCACAATCTAAACCAAATTACAGTAAAACCAGAACCCACAAACTTCACTATTCGTCACAGAGAGCACTTGTACATATCTTCTCTTAGCTTTGCAAGACATCTTAATGCAATACACAAAATCTGTGTGAGGATCGTCCTATTTGGAAATTATAACTCAAGGATGCTGTATGTGCGTCTCAAATTAATTTCAGTTTAAAACCAATTAATGAGGATAGAATCTTCAAGTCCTATTTTTCGTTAAGAAGATTTTATACCAGACAGCTGTTTAAATAGTTTCTCAAGGCTGAAAACAGGGTTTCAACATCAATACCTTCAGGATAGGGCAGTTAGAAGCCAAGCTAGAAAATGTAATGGATCTACAGAATACAGTGAACAGAGCAGCAAACTATTCCTTCTAAATAAACTTCTAGAAGAAACAGATTTATTTTTTTAATTTTGGAGTAAATAATTAATATGTAGTTATTTAGTATTATGAGCCACAGGGACTGCAAGATTCCAACAGTAATCTTTAAATGAAAGAGTTAAAATACTTTTTCTTGTAACTCACAGTAATCAATATACATACAACCTTATTTCCCATCATAATACTTTACTATACACAGTCAGTAGCGAGAAACCTTTATATCAGACATCAGCAGATCTCTCATATCGTCAAACATAAAAATGGAACATTTCACCTATTTTCCTTGTGTTATCCTAGGATTCGATTATATGCAAGCAAAACAGTAATTTAAACAATTTCTTCTAGTTAAAATTACAAACTGCATCACTGTAACTTACAATGAGGTCTTGATGCTTTTAAGCCAATCTCAACAAGAATTTTCTTCACAGTAGGACACCACTAGGGAAGGTAATTTTTTTTCTTCCTTTTACATTAAACAGCAACCACACACCAAACGAATATTGTGCAATTGAAAGAATACACAGTAGTGTTTTCATTATTTATATAAAAACTTTTGAGCATTTAGGGTATGATACTTCCCAATGTGGGCACAGTGTCTGCATAGAGGGATCTGCACAGAGGGGCTTTTCTAATGAACCCCGTTTCTCCCCTCCCTTTCAGAATGCATGCCCTGGTGGCACCCTTCCCCTATTCCACTCTCAGGCTCTCTCTGCTCAAGATGCAGAAGTCAGATCGCACAACTCGAACTGTATTGAGCAGGAGGGCTTGGCTGGAGATAGACGAAGCACCCACAGATCTGGTGCAGCCTGAACTGCCATGGCATGCATGCTGCGAGGGGGAAATGGGGCTCAGCTGATTTGTATGGGGATCCTTCTATGTGTTAGCACCACACCTGTATAGGGAAGAATTTTACGCTATGTCATTATTTACCGGAAAGGCAAGGCCATGAGTGGTTTTTATGGAGGCTTTTGCACTTCATAGCATAGTAACTCCAGAACAGATAACTACTCATTCAACTGTGGCAACTATCTATTTGAGTTAGGCAAAGGCACGGTAACATGTTGCATGTAATATTAAATCTTTATTGTGGGACTGCCTCTAATGTCAAGAAATTTCAAACTTCTTTATTTTATAATTATCATTAAAAGCAACTGCACTGTGCATAAAATGTATTGTTAATTATGAAAACAAAAGGCATATGATTGCACTTCCATTAAAGTGTCTTTTCAATACAGCATAGCTGCTGCTAAATCAACTATTTAAAATAACTGTTCTTAACAGTAGAATTAGGCTTAATTAACTTAAGGTACAGCTTATGTTAATGCAGTCACCATGGCAATAAATGCCAGTTAAATTTGGAAAAGCATTTCTTTCAAGTGGTCCTTCTATCACTAATAATTATAGGTGCGCTTTAAAACAGCAATACTGCATACTTTTTGTGTTGAAGTTGTTTGCTATTTACAGTTTGGCACATCTGTACTGTAAATAGACATTAAAAAAAACAATTTTAATTAGAAAAGAATATCCACTCCTTGGTTTGTGAAGCAGCACTGAAGAGAAGTATTGTATACCTCAATTCACACTGCAGGTTAAAGATTAGTTGGGGAAAGGCAATGAAAAAGCAAGGTATAAAAAATACTGCTAAACACTGGTTTGTTAGAAGACAATTCAAATAAGGGGAAAAGAAGAGAGAATGGTTTCATAGAATCAATAATTCAAATACTCAGTGAGCCTTTAATCCACACTTTCAAGTTAAGGATCACCAGCCTAAGGCTAAATAGATGCTGCATTGTATTAGGAATGTGGAGTACAAACTATTTCTCTCTCTTCAAAGTGAACAGAAAACACTGTCAAATGCAATGGAAATTCCCTGAAAGGTTCACATAACCATCGTAAAGAACTTAAAGGGAATTCCTATATATTCCATCTCCACACCACGGATAAACAACCACACTCTGCTTATGCGGGCCAAAGTCTCCAGAATGCTTACTCCACATAGTGTACCGCTGGCAACTGCCTAGCCATTTTGGCTCCATAATCAATTTCTGTGTTCAGGCTTGTTTGTGTTCACACCAAATGTACATGTTCATTCCACTCAGTTGAGCTCTGAGATATTTGACTTGAAACATCTCCTGAAGCATCCACTTGGCTAGCTGCCTCCCCAGCTGAGTCCCCACTTGGTGGTACTGCTTCTCCTGTAATAACATTCCCAACAGCACCACTCTCTTCTGT